TTAACTACTACACCTACGTATAATATAAGCCGCTTTGCCGTGCATGTTGTCCTCTGGTTTATCCTCACAACAACCCCGTGAGATAGTTCAGGCAGAGAGAGTATGACTCACCCATAATCACCCGGTGAATCCCGTGGCTGGAACGTGGACTCCTCTAAGTTTACGACTCTCACATTACAATTATAGACAGAGTTACACCATTCTAATCCCATTGATTTGAATGGATTTAGAAGGGAATGACTCTGTTTAGGATGGCACTGTGGAATTATTTACTCACGCTGAGAAAGCCATGCAACACGGAATTCTTTCTCCGTACCCAACAAGCTGTCTTTTTTCTGGACGGATGGCTAGACTGCTCCAGAAATTCTGGCAGAGTACAATCCAGACTGCTCCTGAAAATCCGGCTGAGTGCCATCGTGTTTTCGTGGAATTGTAGTTAGAAGGGACTAAATAACCAAGTGGATCCAGATGCCTGCAAACCCCTCCGTCCAAGTGTGTTTCCCCCACACACACCTGCGCTGGCCATAATCTCAAAATCTGCACCGTAGAGGGCAGTAACTTCCCATTCTCAGTTTGACCTCAGATTCCTTCCAAACGTCAGATAAATAATTCCAAAATCACCAGTGCGTTGGTAAGACTGGCTCGTGTTCCCTGTGACTGAGGGTTTTTGTTCTTAAATTCAAGGCTTGATTTCCACTCTGTTTAATGACAAGACCCCCAGCCTCCCCCATAATCATTAAGAGTCAAGCTGACGAGAGATTCAAGGCTTGACTTCAATTTAGAGTCCTCCTGCATCACCCCGGACAGTATGCCAGGGCAGCAGAATCCCTGCTTGTTTTTCTTGATGATGACAGTCTATGCATAACTGCATGACTGTTTCTCCTCTGGGTTGGGTTCCGCTTGTGCCAGAATGGAGAGCGTTCCTTCGAAGGGGAAAGGATTTCCAACTCTTCCCAGGGAGGCCTCCTGAGTTCAGGGGTCCCTGGCATCGTGCCCGCAGGTGGGGCTAGTAGGGCTTCTGATTCGTCCTGGGGATTTGCTTGTCCGTGCAGATTAAAATAAAATTGTCTCAGCACAAGCTGCCCCTGCAGGGTTTATTTTATTCTCTCTCTTTTCCCTTTTCTTCACCAGTTTGGTGTCGTGGTGAAGTGCGTGGACTCTAATCTGGGAGAACCGGGTTTGATTCCCCACTCCTCCACCTGCACCTGGCTGGATGACCTTGGGCAAGCCCCAGTTCTGTCAGAGCTGTCCTTGAAAAAGAGCCGTTCCTGTCAGAGCTCTCTCAGCCCCGCCTCCCTCACAGGGTGTCTGTTGTGTATGTATGTAAGATTTTATTGCATATGGGCATGGGCCATTACAATACAAAATTGCATTCAAAGAGTACTTACGATTTAAAACAGTGCATTCAGGATAAAACGCAATTGTACAACTAAAATGTCAAAATTACAACAATTTGGAATTGTAAAAACGTGATATCAGTATTTCATAACACATTATAAAACATTTCTTCTTTTTTTTTAATCCCCGAAGGGATATTTTTATTTTTGCAAGAAACTATAAAACTACAAAGAAAATATTAGGGAGGGAACTACATCTAGGGATAAATAATTGATAACCACACTATACTAAAACCCCAAGAGGAGGAGATCTTATCCCTGTTCGTGTACGTGTTAATACTATAAGTGTTAGTATCACAATATACTTGTAGAGTTCTTGTTTATCTCAGCTTCAGTGTTTATATGTCAATATGTTAGTTGTTCCTGCCAACCTAGCAGTTCGAAAGCAAGAAATTGCAAGTAGATAAATAGGTACCACT